ATCCTCAAATGGGTACCAGGATGGGCTGTCCTGGGAAAGTAAAGACGGCTGGCGTAATGCTGACCACATTACCCACCGAGTGCAGATTGGTCTGTAAAAATATGGGTACTCTTCCCATATGCCCGATGCGCCTAAAGGCGTGTAAAGGGATCTTTACTTTCTTTACTTTACTTACCCCTCCCCCCCCCCCCCCAAACCAAAATTTGACTGGGTCAGCCATTCCTGCTACAACTCTCGCCGTTCCCGGTCCGATGATATCGCACATCTGAATTTGTATAGACTTTGGACCAACCGTCCCTCATTGAGTAAAATGGGCAGTATATTACTTGCTACCTTTACCTTCTGGTATATTTTTTTGGCTGCTAATGTTAGACTGTTGGCCATAGAGACATTTACTGGACATTATAGTCTAGTATACTAGTATACATGCTGCAGGAGATCGCAGATTATGGAGATGCATGATCGCTCACGCCAGTCGGCAAGGCAACTGATGATGATACTGCTGATCCTAAGGGCAAGGAATAAACAATATGAAGACCCAATTTAAAGATTTGATGTGAGGTCAAAAGAAAAAAACTAAAGATCTATGTCTCCCTTTCCCCTCCACCACTCCATCGCAATTCCTTTCTATATCTCCGAGCTGCTATTTGAAATTGTAGTCACTCTCATATTACAGGAAGTCAACTGAACAAACACCTGATACAGTGATCAATCTCCAAAGGAGATATAATTGAACTTTCGTATACGCAATTCACAGTCCTATGTTGGTAATGAATGATTGAGAAAATTCTTGATAACGAAATAATATTATGGCACTGAAGAAATCAGACGACGAAATGTTATGAAAACAGTTAGTTAGTTAGTGAGTTAGTTAGTTAGTTAGTTAGTGAGTTAGTGAGTTAGTGAGTTAGTGAGTTAGTTAGTGAGTGAGTTAGTTAGTGAGTTAGTTAGTCGAGGGACTATCCTCATTGCACATGAAACCATTCAGTCCATAAGTGCTCAGATATTGAATGATGTAATTATATTACGTTACGAAAATCAGCGAAGAGTGTACTGGAGGTGAAGATGGAAGAGCCCAAGACGCAGACATTGTTACATGTGGGTATACAGCATCAAGAGACAAACGTCATTATTCTCCTTCTCTCCCATCGCTCCCCCCCCCCCCCCAATAGTCCGGCCAATGGTTCAAAACATAACCAGCCAACCATAATTATATATAACTCGTCAGTGTTCCTTCATGTCATTATTCTAGCACTCTATGTTTCTAGTACGTTGTTACAGTTACTAGGTCATTGTTCTAGCTCATCATTATATATATAATACCTTTAAAATAATTGCAAGGGTGACCGACTCAGTGCAGTCAATGCTGTCAACAGAAATATTACATGGCGAGGCCATATCCAATAATTTCAGTATTCTTCCATGCCATTACCCCATGATATCAGCCTTCTACCTTATAATTACTTCAGCCTGACATTAAACGTGTTGTTAATTAAATGTCTGTGAGAAAGATTCCCTTTATCCCCACGAGCTTGGCTATGTGTTTATTCTTACGGCATCCGTTTGACTATGTTCTCGGACAGTTCTTGTGACGATATTCCTCCATGTCACCCATTAGACCCGCCTCTCCTGCGTCATTTCTCTCTGCGTTTCGTTGTCTCTTCTACAACAGATTGGCAACAGGTTCTGCGCCACTTAGTGGTAGAAAAATGCATAGCAAGCTAAACGTAATCTGAAGAATGCTGATACACAGACAGATAGACCACCATGGTCTCGGAGAATAATGCAGGGAGAGGAACCAGAATATAGAGGGTGAAACTCAACACTCAGGGAAAATGCAAGACGAACGAACATTCAGACTAACTGGTGCCATCGATCTTGAAACTAAAGTTGGCTACTGACGACGAGACAGGATGCTTAGGGGAATGTCCCAAGGTGCTATGATAGTAGTTCTCAACTCTTTTACCACTTTATTTTTCAACAATGCCTAACTTTTTATTACAAAAAGCTTTCGTTTCCAGTTACTTTGGTAGTCATAATATTTGTAACATGCGTCTCAGAAATCACTTTTACGCTACCTTAGAGCTCTTGGAAATGTGTCCATTTACAATCAAAGCGATATTTCCTTACTGTAGATGCGGTTTGACATCAGATTTCCTCTTACATAAAAATAAAATCAATTACTACATAATATTTACTTGTGAAATGCATATTACACGTTAGCAAAGTAAAGAACATGTTCTATGTCAGGGAGACACCAGGCATACGAGGCTAGATTCATATTTGTATTACATTCAACGGCACTCGATGGTTCATGTGATCAGCATCACACTAAGTGCCTTGACTTCCTAGATCGTTTCCTGGGACTCTTTTGTGGCCTGTTGTACCCGGGAGTTAAGGTCATGTGTGTTTTCCACACTTTGCTTAATCGAACCCAAGGCCTTAATGTTAACAGGCGAGTAACTAGTTAGATCGGTAATGCAGCTACCATACCATTGGTTGCTGTACTGTTCGTCTTGCCTGCAGATATCGCCTGTATACATCTCTTTTACATAATTGACTCACATGTATGCAGACTGGTGATTCTTTGCCTCTCAGATATATACATTCTGACTTCGAAGGAAGCTTTTATTTAAGCGACTTTTACGACATGTTTGTGCGAAGCAGTGGGTCTATTCTTGCTTTCCCCGGAGTGAGGATCCAGAGCCCACACGGAAACTGTTGCTGTAGTAAACTCTCACCCTGTTGTCGGTGTCTCTACCATGCTGTAAGCTCTTAAACCAACTTGCAGATGTTTGTATTCATCATCTATCAGGAGGTTCTTTACAGACCTTCACTCATGTCACGTCGCGCCTTAAAATCTTTCTTTTTCTTCAGCCATTTCTCCAGCCCTATGTGCTTTCATAGCCAGAGCATCTTCGTTGTCTAGTCTCCACGCTCGCGTAGATCTGCCTCTTCCTCGTTTTCTGGAAACTGTAGATTTCGTCATCTTTCTTGCTAGACTACAGTGATATTTAACATGGCCAAAGTAATCCAACTTTCGGGAGAGGATGCTGTGTTTGAGCCAATTCTCCGCGATGCTAAGATCATGCAGGATGTCAATGTTTTTTTTCTCCTTTTTGATCTACGGTTTTCTACGAATTTTTAAATATCATTTCCCTCAGTAGGTTTGTGTGTATTACTTGTTTTTCCTAATGTTATTTTCATGCAAAAATTGTCACCAATGCTGTCAAATTGGGGTGGGGGGGGGGGGGGGGGGGGGGAAATTGCATTGCACGCATTGCAAGGTCAGGAGATCCCTGGAGAGTAAAGTTTCCTGTTATCACCCCCACACCTTTTTTTTTTTTTTAACCTTTTGCTCTCGCACACACACGCACACACACACTTTCACACATTTTGTATGTAAACAACACATATTTTTGCGATTTTGCCCCCCCCCCCCCCCTTTCCTCTTCCCGTGATGAAAGCCGTTACAGTCCGCACTCCCTTGCCCCGCTTTGGGATGGGGGTCGGGGGTTAAAGGGGGGGGGGGATGGAGGAAACTACAGTCAACCTTTTAATGAAGATGATTGAGGAACTGGGTAGCACTGTTCGAAAGTGTATATCTGATGTGCAATTGCAAATCTCAAATGTTTCCATTTTTGTTTATCAGCAGTTTCCGGTCTGACATGCGTACAGTGCATGTCCATGAACACGCCGAGCTGTCTGCATGGTCGCTTGACTCCTACTCCCTGCATAGAATCGGAGCACAAGTCAAAGTACTGCTACAAGTCAGTTGGCACCCAGACATCAGGAAATGGTATGTAGTATGGGTTCTTCTCTATTAAGCGACCACATCACGCGAGATTTAGGGAAATCGCATTGTATAGGGGGAGTTAGGGTTAGTGTTAAATGAATAGCGATAACTACTAACCCTAACCCTCCCCCCCCCCCCCCCCCCCCGACCAGCCCCCCCCCCCCCCCCCCATGCTTTGGAATTTTTCTAAATCTCACGTGATTAGGTCGCTTAACGGAAAAGTACCGTAGTATGTAACTGTAAATGTTTAGATGTAGATATCGTAGGATCTGATTAATTATAAGACATGATGGTTGGGGGATAGTGTTTTCTGGTTATAAATTATGAGACATACGATGACCGTAGAATAGTGGTTTCTGGTAATTATTTTGTAAGTCATATTCTGTTCAGAGAATAGTGATTTCTGAGAAGACTTCAAAGAATGCAAAGGATAGACCGAAAAACAACGGAGTTAGTCTTGCAGAAAACAGATAACACTCATGCAATGTTTTCGGAAATTATACGTAGATAGTCGTGAATTTTATTTTTTAAACAATGTAAGAAACTTCAGAAACGCTGTTACAATTGCAAATCTTAATGGGTCAACCGCAAAGCTGCTTGGCCGGGTGGGGGATGGCTTGGCGACGTAACTAAGCTAGACAGTATTAGAGATCTTATTCTTCTTATTTGTTCATCGGTTGTAAGCTTCCGTGGAAAGTGCTGTTTGTTCGTCCATTTGGACTTCAGCTTTGTGTCAGGGCCTGAGTTTCTCGACTACATCCGTTTTACTGACTTACTTGTGTGATCTTATCCACTGTTCGAAGATCGCAGAGGATGTCAAGCCATGACAACACACGCGTTTTAAAATGAACATGATGATGATGATGATGACAGAGCATCTGTTGGATATGGTCATTTACTAGGGTGTGCGTTCTAAAATAATAACAACCCGCCAGGCAGTGACTGAAACATGTCTGATGTTTTGTTGAAACATTCCACAGGTCATTTTGTGTCCCGGGGCTGCAGCATGACCCTACAGAAGAACTGCACCACCAAATTGGTATTGGGCGACTTCTACAACGTCTGCCACGACTCCTGCGACCATGACGGCTGTAACCGAGCACTCGCCTTGTCTTCGGTGGGCATCAATCTCCTGTTCCTGGCATTTATTGTTATCACAGCAGACCTTCTGGCCGCTGACGTGTTCCGGCTGAGACTTTTGTAGACTGATATTTCAGAGCATACGGTGATAGATGGACAACTGAGAATACGTAAGTGGATAGGGCGGGGTGGAGGGTGGATGCTGACAGTTCAAGGTTAATCGCGATGTCTGGTAACTTATAAGTACATTATGAATGTGGGACTTTTTAGAATGCAAGGTGATATATACAATTTCAGTCTATATAATGATAGATAGACACGTGAAAAAAGACGGTAATACATGCAGGATTATAGATTATCTGAGTATACCCGGTGATAGATGGACATCTGAGCATACACAATGATTGTGGACATCTGAGTATACCTGGTGATAGGTGGACATTTGAGTATACCCGGTGATAGATGGACATCTGAGCATACACAATGATTATGGACATCTGAGTATACCTGGTGATAGGTGGACATTTGAGTATACCTGGTGATAGATGGACATCTAAGTATACCCCGTGATAAATGGACATCTGAGCATACAAGGTTATAAATGGACATCTGAGCATACAAGGTTATAAATGGACATCTGAGTATACCCGGTGATAAATGGACATCTGAGCATACCCGGTGATAAATGGACATCTGAGCATACACGGTGGTAGGTGGACATCTGAGTATACAATGTGGTAGATGGACATCTGTGTAAACCCGGTGATAAATGGACATCTGAGGATACACGGTGATAGATGGACATCTGAGCATACACGGTGGTAGATGGACATCTGAGTATATACGATGGTAGATGGGAGAATGATGATTCACGATAATAGACAATTAAATGAAACTTAGTGTTACATGCTCGTTTAAGAAGAGTTAATAATCAGTTAACATTTGCGAGTGTCTTTCGATAGTAAAATTTTGAAAAAAAATAAACTTACAATGTGATTTGAGGATGTATTATTGTAATTGAGATAACGCCGTAACAGATGGAGGGACATTAAAGAGTAAAGAGTAATTAATGGGCGTGAAAAGATATCAAACTATTTGGGATCATCTGAGGCTACAACTCCGCATTTGAAGATATGTGGAATAAAAAACAGAACAACAATTAAAGATAGATTGTGATTTATGGATAATAGAGATAGAATACTATTCATAGGTGTTTGAACGAACAAGGTAGCAAATAAGCAATTAAGATAAAACATGACTAAGCATTTGAACATCTATGGTGATAAATGGATATTTTATGGCACATGATGATAACTGAGCTTATACGTTTTTTTTTTTTTTTTTGAGTTTTTTTTTTTTGGCCACAGATAAACAATTAGAGAAAACTATGTTTGCTGAATTGAAACTGTTTTATTTATTTGTCGTCTCCATTCCTGCTTCATAATCACTTGGTCAAGAAAACTGAGAAAAGTTTACCATGTTAATTAATGCCTAATTATTTGTATGTGTGAACAGAATCAGGTGTAGCTGTCCATAACTTTCGTTTATATAGCTTAGTATCTGTGAGACTTGTCATTCGAAGTCCTTTGAAATAACGTATTCGTCACATTGTCAAAGAAGTGTGTCTTTGGATGCCCGGTGAAACAGCGTATGTGCCACACTGCCATGAGGACGTGACGCCAGATTCTCGGTAAAACAGCGTATACGCCACACTGCCAAGAAGATGTGACGTCAGATGCCCGGTAAAACAACGTATACGCCACACTGCCAAAAAGATGTGACGTCAGATGCCCGATAAAACAGCGTATACGCCACACTGCCAAGAAGATGTGAAGCCGGATGCTCGGTGAAACAGCGTATGTGCCACACTGCAAAGGAGACGTGACGTCAGATGCCCGGTAAAACAGCGTATACGCCACACTGCCAAGAAGATGTGACGCCGGATGCCCGGTGAAACAGCGTATACGCCACATTGCCAAGAAGATGTGACGCCAGATGCCCGGTGATACAGAGTATACGCCACATTGCCAAGGAGATGCATCTTTGGATGTCCGGTGAAACAGCGCTTACCTTACACATGTCAGTAGTTTTTTCTTGTCGTGTAAGCCTTCAGACACCAGTTGTAACTTCTCATTTGCTGTGCAGTCTACTAAGCTTGAATCACACAGAAGATGATGTACACATCTTGAGCTTATTATCTACCAACCGACTATTAGTTTGTTAAAGTTCACCCTGCTTCTCGTCAGCTTGAAGACAATTGAAACAACCCTGCCTAGACGACACCACCGTTCAGTCTGTGCTGTGGGGGAGGGGGTATGCTGGTTCAGCCGGGTGTACTTTAGTGTACGGCAGACCCGCCTTGTAAACTTCTTGTTAATTGTTATTTATGTGAAATCGATATTGTCTATTTACATGCACCTTCCAGAAAGAGAACCGCCTTCATGAAACACTCATATGTTCTCGTTAATGCGCAATCCTTATTCATTGCCACTTAAAGATCCGTCTTCTGTCTGCACATAGCGCAGTTTTACAGCCCTGAAAATGCCACGAAAACATAAACAAAGCTGCATTCCTACAGCAGATACTGATTCACGATTTTATTTTTATGTGAGGAGGTGACCCCCTCCCGTCCTCTATAACATAGTTTGTGCCAACATGCAGCAGTAGGACTATCTATGCTTGCATTTTAGAACGGATAGCACGACTGGTTTCATAAGATCGTCTGCATTAACGATGGAACAGACACTTTTAAGTCGCGTAAACAAGCCAGCCATCTTGTAGATATCTCCCCCACGCCCACGTGAAGGAGAGAAGTGATAACTACACTTCACAAACCCTTCATACATTATAATTAAAGATATCAGACTACAGAAGTTTGGGTGGTGCTGCGGCTAAAGGGCTCAGGAGACAATCTTTGAGATCTCCATTGATATTAGCAACAACAATAACATACACAAACACAGACAGACAAATACAAAAAAGTAAAAAAAAAAAAAAAAATGAAACAATTATAATAATGACTTAGCCACTCATTCTAAAATAACTGCTAGAAAATTATCTGTTAAATAAAGGTGACCGGTGTAATATTGACTACAGCACTATCTAATGCCGATTTGTCGACACAAATATGGGAGTAGTATCATGTAGCCAATATGCTCTTCAGGTGAAGGGATGATTTACTGGTTGAGTTGAGCTGAGTCAAAACTTGACAAAACAGCACTCCGGGCATTCCCGTGCTGTTCCGTCCTCATCTTTAGTAGCCAGCGTAGAGTTCCAATACTGATGGTACCGGTCACAATCTGGTTATATGCCTTTCCCCTGAGTGTAGTGAGCCGGCCAGACAGACCCTCTGGTTACACCTAGGTGCCTCATTCTCTGCAAGCCATAATCATCTTGTTTCTTTACGACTCCCTTGCTTGTTCCCAAAGGACCTTGACCACATCTGCCTTGTGATGTATCAATTCACGACCCAGTGGCGCAGATCCAGCCAGCCTGTATGACTGTTCATTACCCACCACGCCTGCATAGCCTGGAGACAAGATCTAAAGTATGCTCACTACTAGTGACCTTTCAAGTGAAGCTTGCCACTCTGCTCGAAGCATCACTGTCTTCACTTTTCTAAGCATGCTCTCAAGAGTCTGCTATAATTACGATATGTGTATGAATCTTTTTCTCTAGCCACCGAAGAGCAGCAGTTACTGCCTGCCCTCTATTTTCATGCTAGATGTTGTGGTGTCGTATGCTAGGCTGTCTTGCACTAAAGATGTTTCATTGGCTTTCGCTACGAGACACTTCTCTTTGCTCTCAACACCGAACATGATGTCCTAGTTTTCTCTAAGACTAATCCATCTGCCCGCTACACCATCTTCCAAAATAGTAAATGATCGGTTAAAACAAAGCCAGCAAAGTATTGTAGCAGCAGCTGGCCTAAGGGAACTCCTGACATTGGTCTCCGTTTATTGAACACTTGTTTCAATGTGATGGATACGATGAGGACCCTATTGAGGATTATGACGTCCCCGTGTAGTCATTTATTTTGCGCCTCCTCTTCTTTCAGCTACTTTCCAGCAAATCTGTTATTTTATTTTAATGTCAGAGCGCTAATGTAATGCGTGTCTCAACAGGATAAAATCAATAAAAAATCTAAACTTTTGTATTACTACTAGTTTCTGCTGCTCTCAGAATTGTGCCGCCCCTAAAATGTCGGCGCTCTGTGCAGCTGCACTTATTGCACATGCCCAAATGTGCAAAAGACGTGATAATAAAAGGGAAAGAAAGTCAGATGTAAATAATAAAGGGGAACGAAACCCAGACATCAGTATTAAAGGGGAGCAAAGCCATTTGTGAGAATTAAAGGGGGAGAACAAACAGATTTGCAGATTTAATTTAAAAAAAAGGGGGAGGGGGTGGGTAAGCCAGATGTGAGGATTAAAAGAAAGGAAAGGAAAATCAGATGTGAGAACTATATGGAAGCAAAGCCAAATGTAAGATTTAAAGGGAAAAGAAGACACGCCGTCTGAATGAATGGGAAGGAAACACACATTTTTTAGAGTAATCAGGGGAAGAGCCAGATACCAAAACTATTTGGGAGGAATGCCTCATGTATTTGCATGCTATGTGATAATCATTACGTCCTTTTCAGGACGTAATTTTTTGTTATTTGAAGCCCCACTCTGGCTTTTGCCAGGGGCCGCAATATAGGCAGGTCATCATTATGGCCAAATGTCTGAACGCGGTTTCTGGGACCCCTCCACGGTGATCCTCATCCGCATGGTGGCACTTTGTGTCATCGGGTGTTTATCGCTTGTGTGATGTCCTGGTGGGGTAAAAAAAATCCAATCCAATCCTCATGTATATTATTATTATCTACAGTCGTACGTCCTTCTTAGGACGTTATTTTTTGTTATTAGAAGCCCCACTCTGGCTTTTGTCAGGGGCCGCAATATAGGCAGGTCATCATTATGGCCAAATGTCTGAACGCGGTTTCTGGGACCTCTCCACGGTGATCCTCATCCGCATGGTGGCACTTTGTGTCATCGGGTGTTTATCGCTTGTGTGATGTCCTGGTGGGGTATAAAAAGCCAAGCCAAGCCAGCCTCATGTAAAATATTATTTATAATTAAA